GAGACGATATCTCATTGTTGTTTTGATTTGCATCTCTCTAATGGCTAGTGATCGTGAACATTTCTTCATATGTTTGTTGGCTGCCCAGATCTCTTCCTTGATGAAGTGTCTGACTCTTTTTGAGCCTCAGTTCCCGCATCCCTGCGCCCATCAGCTTGACAAAAAATTTAAAAGACTGATTGGTCCAATGGTAAATGGAAACCTGTCATGGATATCAGAGGGCAATTAGGATAGGCACTGAGCTGCTAACCAGGAGGAGTCCTGGTATGCGCTATAGGAGACACACTGGACGGAAAAGTCCTAGTTGAACTTACCAGCTGCTCCTCGGAAACCCTATACAGGGTCACTAGAGTCATAAGGAGCTCTGGTAGCATAGTGGTTACGAATTGGGCTGTGAACCACAAGGTCAGTAGTTCAAAACTACCAGCTGCTCCATGGGAGAAAGATGAGGCTTTCTGCTCCTGTAAAGATTTACAGCCTTAGAAACCACACAACAACAGAGTCATAACCTACTTGATGGCATGTAACACCAACTAACCACAAGATTGGCAGTTCAAACCCACCAGCCGCTCTTCAGAAACCCCATACAGAGTAGCTATGAGTCAGAACCTCCTTGATGGCACTTAACAATTTTTAATGTACATACCGTTCCAGCGATCCCACTTCTTGACACCAGTTTTGGATAAGTAAGTACACACCTCACTAAAAGTCATGTGCAAGAATATTGTTTAAATTAGAAAAACACTGAGAAAATGTGATCTAATAGAAAACTGATTAAAGAAACATTGCCACATCACAGTTTGGAATGTCACCTAGTAAGCTGAATCCATAAGGAGCTTTGGTGGCTCTGCAAACAGAAGGGTAAGTAGGCAGTTCGAAACCACCAGCAGCTACACTGAAGAAAAGACCTGGCGATCGATCACCTGTAAAGATTATCACACTGCCATCAAGTAAACTCCGACTTCTAGGGTCTGTGAGACTGCAAATATTGATGGGAGCTGACAGTCTTTCCTTTCTTCCAAGGGACCACGGGTGGGTTTGAGCCCGTTGACCTTGTGGTTAGCAGTCCAGTGCTTATCCTACATTGCCACCAGAGGCTGTCCTTTCCTATAAAGATTGTTGTTAAGTGCCATCAAGTCAATACCACTCATGGCTAGCCTGTGTAGGATTTCTGAGGATCAGCTGGTGGGTTTGAACCACCAACCTTGTGATTAGCAATCTAATGCTTATCCTACAGCACCACACTAGGTCTCCCCTGTAAAATCTACAGCCTGGGAATCCTTGTAGGGTCACTGTTAGCCAGAATTACCTTGATGGCAACAGATTTTTGGAGTTTAGGTTTACTTATTTAAAAACAAAAACAAAAAACTTTAGGTAATTTTTTAAAAAATAGAATATGCATGGTATTTTTGCAACACTGTGTGCGGTGGAGTTGATTCCGATTCATAGTGACTCTATAGAGGGTTTCCAAAGCTGTAAATCTTTACAGCAGCAGAAAGCCTCATCTTTCTCTGCCGGAACAGCTGGCAGTTTCAAAATGCTTACCTTGTGGTGCACAGCCTGATTCATAACCACTACACTACCAGAGCTCCTGAAAGCAGTAACACCTATCTCACAGCATTCAATGAGAAAGACCATGAAGGGCATTTAGCTCAGAACCTAGGGATTGAGACTTCAGTGCAAGGAGTCACATTGCCAAGGTTCAAATTTGGACTCTGCCACTTCCTAATCTATAAGTCAGGCATGTCACTTAACCCTCTCATTTCTTCAATGTCCTCATCTATAAAGAGGAGGTGATACTACCCACCTCTTCGAGTTGTAGGGATTTAGTGAGTTTAAGAGGTAAAGCACTTTCAGACTGTGCCTGACAGGCAGTAAGCATATTACAGAAGCTGTAATTAGTCTAATTATCTCTTATTACATCATCTTCCACCAGTACTAAACAACAACAGTATTATTACTTGCGGCAGAACAGTCAGGCTATATATACATGCTGACCCCAGGCCATTCCTTCCTTTAGTGACCTCCAGCTGATTTTTCCCCAGCACTTTATAGTTTAGAAAGCTTGAGCCTGTGCCTCATTCAGACCTCATAGCTGGCCATCAATTTTTAAATGAGGAAATGTAGACACCAAAAGTTCAGTGGCTCAAGTTCTCACAAACATAGACAGCTTCATCTGACTCCTAGCATACCCCCTTCCCACCATCCTAATCCAAAGATCTGTTGGAGATAAAGTTGAATCTGACTTCCTGGAATCCACT